ACCTGCACCCGCTGTAGGCTGGCTGCTCCCAGCACTGTTTGCTTGTAGTCTGGTAGGAATTGCTAGGGGAGATGTGTGTGACAAGAGTACTTCACTGTTCATTGCCCTTGCTGCAGTCATCCTCATCTCTGCTCCTCTTTCTGAAACCTAGAAGCATATGACTCTTCCTCCTGCGATTAGACCATCTTGTCTAAGATGGCAGAGGTCCAAGTTTGATGTTTTGGAGAAGACTCATTGCTTAGCCATGAGCAATGTGGGCTGGGCAGGTAAGTCCAGCCAGACTTTTCAGGTGCTTCTGACAGGAGGCAGGGAAGGTGTGTGCAACATTCTGTTAACTCAACGTAACAGCCTGTTTTACCTTCTTGCTTCCTGGCAGGAAGGGGCAATTCTGCTGATTGGCAGTAGCATGGGGGAAGAGTGCAACTATAACAGACCCAGTCACCGGTATGTAACCTGCTTTCTTTCTGTGCTGCTTCCTGCCACTTGTTTCTTTTCTTAGGTTCATGGTCTTGTACAAAAATGTATTGGAAATGTCTGATTTGTGCTGCATTTTGCTATCAGCATTTTTTTTTGTCCTGTCGTCCTGCTTTTACATAGAAAAAAAATGCTATTTTTTATAAAAAGTGGAAATGCAAGTTAAGTACAGGTTTACAGTCTGTCCTTCCAGTGATATTAGTTCATACTTAATTCATACTCCTTGCACTCAGCTGTTTATTTAAAAATCTAAAACACCATCAACCCCAAAACCTGAGGCCCTGTCACACATGTCTGCTTGTTGTTAAGCATGAAAAATTTCCCCAACACTTAGAAATAGGGGTGGATGACCCTTTCCTGAATTGCAAGGGAGGGGAATTCTCCTGTTTTCTCCCCATTTGGAGACAGAGTGACCTGATGCCACCAAACTGACCCTTCTGAAGCCCATGTTGGTCAGAGCTTTCCTGTTCTTGCAGAGCTGCCTCCAGCATTTGCACCATCCCTTGACTTCAGCAGAGTTGATTTATCCCAGCTGAGGTTCTGGCCTATGAGTCACAGGGTTCATTTGGTGAATTATTTCCTTAGCAGAGTCTCCAAGGACCTCCCTAGGCTGTATGAAACCAGCCATGTAATGAGTTTTAGTGGTGAGATGGAAAGATTCCCGTATTGTGACTGGCAGGATTACTAGTGTGTTAGAGGATTTCCAGTATGATTGTTGGTGGAACCAGCAGGAGGAGGAAAGGTCTGGGTCTGTTCAAATACCCATTTACAAATGAGCTGCTAAGCAAGACAGCCTGAGCTGGGCACCATGCTGATTCCTGCTGCTTGAAGGGAATGTTTTTAAGGGAATTGTGTCCTGGTAAGGGCCAGCTCTTTGCAAAGGGAGGTGAGCTAGGAAGAAGCACCTGAACGGGAGGTAAATTCATGGATCTAACTTGCTGCAAGACTTTCTTGGTAGCCTTGATTTGTTAGGTCAAACCCACCAGGCAGCCGGACACTCTGATCCCCTGAAACCCTTGTGAAGGTGGGACCTCAAGCAGCAGGGAAGGAAGAAGTCCTTGCTGCCTTAGTGAGGTTTGTCTGCAGCTTCTCTGTGTCCTGCTTGCCATTTGCAAGATGGGAAGGGAAGCTGCATTTCCATGTAGTGGGGTTGCTGGGAGGATGGTTGCTCCTGTGAGGCTCTCGGACACCCTGAAGGGAGGGTTTAGACATCCAATAGACTGGGAAGTAGCAAAACACCTCTTGCTTATTCTGATTTATTTCCCAGTCTCTTAAACAAAAGCCTTTATGTGGATATAAGATAATTACTGCAATAAGCAAATATGTATTGTTAGATACCTCTACGTTTGAAGTCTCGTTGGGCATTATTTATCAAGATTTTGATCTTGCAGCTAGATGAATTTTTAGAGAGCTTTGGCAACCAAAAGAGTCTGTTCTGCTTTTTAATATTGCATCAAAATGCACCCAAATGGAAATTGCTTAAAGCAGCAATTAAAGAAAACCTTTCACACTCTTCATTGTTTGCCAAGTACCCAGATTTCATGCAGTGCAATTTCATGTGGCCACTGGGAAAATTCCTGCTAATAAAACTAATCGTTCATTAATGAGGAAAGTAATGCCCAATAGCATGCAGTAGAAGCAAATATTTAGCAAAGAGTCTGCAGTTATAAGCAACTCTGTCTGTGTGAAATCACCAGCTGATCTATGCTGATGTACAGCTACTGATGCCGGGCCCGGAGCCTGCACAGAGTGCTGTGAGCAGTGAGAAAAGGACAATATTAACAGTCAGCAGCTTGTTCCAGGCACCTGCAGGGCTGTCCACAAGTGCTGGCAGGGGTAGGGAGAGGCAGGACCTCTGTCCTCCTGTCTCCCCTGCTGTCTCTGGCCCAAGAAAAGCCCCCTTTTTTGTGGGAAACCCTCATCACTCCACAAAGTGCCACAGATCAGTTGTTCCAGGTCTGCCTCTGCTCTCTGTACAACCCTGGATAATCTCATTTTTTTTGCCTCAGTTTCCTTGCCCTGTAGAACAGGGGTTGTGCTGCTTCTCTGCCAGGGTCATGTGCTGTGACAGGGGTGGGTGAAGAGGTTGTCTAAGGGCAAGTCCTACTCTGACCTCGGACACTGGAACAGCTGAATTCGCTCTGTGTTAAGGAGGAAATGCTGTGGACTGGAAAAGATGTTAAAAGAAAAAAAAATCCTAAGTGCTACAGTCTGTTATTACTTCCAAAGCTTTACTGCAGATTCTAAGCCTTGGGAGATGGCAGGAGCAAATGTCCTACCCCGAGCACTGCCTCTTGGCCCCAGAGGGGATGTTCCCAAGGCCGAGCAACAGGACGTGTCCAAAGGAGCATCCTGTGGCCATGCGGCGAGGGTGGCAGCGCCGCGTTCCCGGGAGCCCTCCCTGCTCGCGGGAGGGCACCGCGAGTGGCCGCGTTGGCTTTGTTTGGCTTGCGTAAGCTTTAATCTAAAGTTGGAGATGTTTTTAGCTGATCTGTGTTAATGTTGGGTGGAATTAACATGCATACGGGGAGACCATGTGACCCCCTCCCCTCCCCTTTTTTCATCGCTTTAACGGATTCCTGCCAAATCAGAGTGGCTCGAGCGCGGCGGGGCTGGGCTGCCGCCGCACGGCTCCCAGCAAGATGCCCGCCGTCTCCATCCTTTACAAGGGAGCCATCATCATCAGCAGGTAACGCCGCGGGCGGCGGGGCCGGCGCGCGAGGACGAGGGGAGCAGGCGCGGGACGGCTCTCGCGCCTCGTATCGGCCGCCGCAGCGCAGGCCGGGGCGTCTTCCCGGTGCAAAGCGAGTTTCCTTGGCAAGGGGGTTTTGCTCGGCTGTGCTGGGGTTTCCTCGGGAAGGGGGTTTTGTTTGGCAGGGTTTATTTGTTCGCAGTGGAAAGCTGAGAGAATGAAATGGGAAGGAAGCTTCACTTTTCAGCAGCGCGTGGTGCCTTAACCCCGACCGTGAGATCCCCCTGACTGGGGGCGCATGCAGGATCCTTTGGTTTTGTGTCTCCTGCTGTGAAGAAAAGGGGTCTGGGTTATTAAGTAGGAATGATGCAGAGATGGGGTTGGTGCTCTGCGTATCGTGCTGTTCTGTTTGATTTATTTGTCTCCTGTGAAGACTTTCTCTTATGTTTCTGGATTCCCCAGGTGAGGTGATGGGTATTTAGGGGACAGTCACTTGGAAGTGAAATTTTCTTGAATGCTCCTTCTTAGGAGCAAACAAGGCTCCTTCTCTGCCCTTTCACCTGTGATCTTGCTCTTGGAGGGTTTTGTATCTCTAACTCTTTCATGTTTCTGCCCCAATGCTTGTGCATCTTATTAATGATAAAATTTGATCATATCAAGTAGGCATCGGTTTTACCAAAAGCCATCCTAATATTTCATTTTTTAAGTGGCTTGAATTATTTCCTGTTTGCTCCTGATTGATATTTATGCAAAATGCTCTGAAAAGCCTGCACAATTGTTTAATGGGGCTGGGTTGAAGCTTTAGAGAACACAGATTGGTCTGGCTTCCCGGTAATCACTGCCACTGCCATCCTGACAGTGGATAACTTGGCAGCTACTTCATCAGATATTGTGAGCATGAGAAACATTACAAGAACTTTAAGATGCTTTATTTTTAATGAGGAGAGGCAACTTCCTGTCAAATCTGTCTTTTAGACTAGTTTGATATTTGGAAGCCCTTAAGGTGTGCTCTGTTTGAAGAAACGTTCTTTGAAGTTTCTTGTGACCTCTTAGAGTCGGACGACCATGGTGTGCCCCAAGGTGTTCACCCTCGTTAGCTGAGTCTGGTGGAGATTTGGGTTCTGATGTTGATCCAGAAACTCACCTTTGCTCCTGCAAATTAAATATTGCTCAACGGGAGTGTTTGAGGAGAACACTGCTGTGTCTTGTTGCCCGCGTGGCTCTGGTTTGCTCACTGATCCTGCTGGGGTGATCTGACAGGAGGAAGAGAAGCAATGGCTTGAATGAGTGGGTCTTTGTTTCTAAATTAAAGTTAAAAAGAAATTAGGGTGACTTTTAGTTAGCAGTAATGTAATCTGCAGCCTCTAATCTCCCTTTCAAAACTCAATAAATAAAGGCAGGAGTTTCTGAAGTCCAGTGCCGGGGCTGTTTGCTTGCGTGAAGCTACTTCCCTTCCAGATGTGTCTCGAAGGGCCTGCCAGGGAAGCTGTCTTGGAAAGCGAGTGATTAATTTTTGCTCCTTTTGTCTGTGCCTGCGTTGCTGGGTGTCCGTGTGACACTGTTCTGGAAGGTGCTCAGGAAGGCCAGATCTGCCCTCATTCCCACACAGCCCGAAGAGCTCGAGGCTTCTTTTCCTCAGGATGTGCTGGGAGTTCACTCACTTCTATGAGAGCTAGGGATCATCCAGGATGGGAGTTGAGAGCACCTGGCTGATACGAGTGATACGAGTACCTTGAGTAACACACAGTTTGGGTGACGTGTGACACCTCCTTGGAGCCATGCCTGCTTTCCCAAAGCTCATGCTGCTGGGTAGGGAGAGACCTAACGGTCAGGATCCCAATTTGGCACAGAGCAAGCTAAGGGTTAAGCTCCTGTTTTACTGGACTTGGCCTGTGGTGAAAAACTTCAGCTCTTAGTCTGATAAGACATAAAGCAAAACTTATTACAGCCTGTTTTTTTTCCAGTTCCCCTGACAGGGAAAGGTATGCAGCAAAATAGGCTGTTTCTCCTTGTCGCGCATTGTGCATGGGATACCAAGCCTTGGAAATGGGCTCTCGCCTGTTTTCTTCATCACAGATTGTGCGTGTTTGTGAAACTGGCTTATTCTTGGAATATTGGTTCGAGCTCTGATCTCATTTACATGGAGCTGGACAGCTGTCCAGCCCCATTAATCCGGGGTAACGGATCACAGACAGGTCCATCAGATTTGCTGGGTGGAGATGATGATGATGTCCATCTCTGCACAGGTTTCTCATTGATTTGTGTGAATTTGGGGAGGAAGCTCATGGCAAGGGGCTTGTTTTTAGCCACCATGGACTTGCGTAGGGCTGTGTCCTTCAAAGCCTGGCGAGAAGGTGAGGGAGTCCTTGTGTGCCTGCTTGGTGCACGTGTGCATTCCCTTATTTTAGCCTATGAAAGATGTCTCTCCTCTCTTGCAGGACGCTCATGGGACCGTATGGAATGGATCGGGTCGTGCATTGCTTTGACTTCTACGACTGTGCAAATGGGCTGGGTGAGTAGTGCCCCTCTATGCAGGGGACATCCTCATGCGCTGGGGGAGCAGGAACAATCCCCCAAATTCCCAGCACCTTTGTTGTGATTTCTTCTCCCTGTTTGAAGTCTGACCATTCGCAGAAGTGCTGCTTCTTGTGCCTGCCTGCCAGTCAAGCCTCTGATGTCAACTTGCATGGCAAAGAGGTTAAAGTAAGGTCAAAGTCCTGATTAATTCTATGTTTACTATGAACAGTTGCAGTGCTTAGAGCTGCACAAGACCTCAGTGCAAGATGGCCCTTTCTCTGAGCGGGATTTCTGGGAACTTGGAGCTTCTTGGAGCTTCTAGGAAAGGTGGAAAAGAACCCACACCTGTGCTGGGCTCTGTCTTCCACCCACTGCCGCGATTGCAGAGCAACAGCGGTTGAGAAGTGCAGCCAGGCTGGCCAATGTGAATACCAATCTGACCTGTCAAAAGTAGCATGGCTGCAAGTAACACTGTGTGACACCAAAGTGACATATGGATGGCACCTGAGCTGACATAGAATGGCATAAAAAAGATGGTCTTATCCATCAGAATGAGAGATTCATAATTTCAGCTTGGAGAAACAAGCTCGCACGTTGGTTAGGGCTTAGGTTTCCTGAGAACTAAGATCATTTGTTAATCTTTTACTATGTTTCTAGCTTTGGACTGGGTAACTAGTATTTCTGCTGCAGAAGA